GTGGCATTAGAGACACCAGGGACTCAGCTTGTTAATCCACTGTTGCTGTTTTTTTTCTTGAAATTTAGTTTCATCATGAGAGATAGGACAGTCCCTTAGGACTGAATTTGGACAGTACTGTTTCAGAGATTTGTATTACTTTCTAGACATCCCAAGTTCCAAAAACTCATTTCAGGGTATTGCTGTTCTCAACAACTGTTCATTAACTAACAGTAATTTCTCAAACACAAATCAGAACAGTATTGGTGTTTTATTTTCAATTTTCACTACTTTCAATCTTGTAGCCTTGAACAAAGGTTCTGCTTTCTGTTTTTCATGGGACTTCAGCATACAGTGCACCTCGCCACGGTGTCATCCTTCCTCCCCATGGCCGGCTCTAGACAGGGGTCAGTGGGGGCCAGTGCCCCTGTAGATCATGTCTTGGCCCCTGTTATGGCCCCTATACTGAAGACATAATACTTAAAACAAATTCTAACATTGATCTGGGCTGGAACAGACATGGTTACTGATAGGTCCTTTGGATCTGCTTCATTCTTTCTCTTTACAAATTCTGCTTTACAAACTATTCAAAAACAATAAGGTGATAGCTTCAGTGGTATTAAGATAAGATCCCAGTTTTCATCTTTAGAATGTTTTCTTTTACAAATAAAAAAATGCTCTAATTTTTTCAGATGAATTTAACAGTTTTTCTTGAGTTCTGTTTCAATTTCTATAGAAAACTGTAGTTTTAAGTTAAATTAAGTCAAAAAATACGTACAATTCCTAAATTATAAATGTATATTGACCTCATAAGAAATATAATTTTTATTAAACCTAATTGAAAAGAAATTTCCCTTCATGCAGCTCTCTTAATATATTTGAATCTCTTGCCCTGTTTTTTATTTCATGCTTTTCTGGGCCCCCATGACTGTCAGAGAGTAACCTACAGAAACTTATCGGACTGATCAAATCAGCTCTCTGACAATCAGTCGCCTGGAACGATGGTTGAACAGAGCATCACTTTGGACAGATACGCTGCACAGGTTTCACCAGCAACCTCCCCCCCAAACCCCACTCTCTCTTGTTGTCTGAGCAATTGCAGTAGTTCTAATCCGCACATGGTGCACAAATCATTGTACTGCCTGCCCGCTCTCACTTTCATTAAAAAACTCCACCACCCATAGTCTAAAATCCGGGATAATTTATCTGACTTGCGGGCATCAGTGAACAGCTATCTATATCAGGGAGACTCACTGAACTTCCGGGAGACTTGGGATGTCTTCCTTTCCACAAATGTGAGAAACTCAGGGCAGAGTAGTTTACACATTTTATTTACTGTATTAACTTGAGTAAGATTTAACAATGAGTATCAATATTTTTACTCAAGTACTAATGTTGGGTACTTCGTTCACCACTGGTAATGACACCTGGTTACGCCGATCGGAGGTCACTAAAATTAGTGTTGCTTCGGTGTGTAAGTTTGCCAAAACAATGTGGGACTCCCCTCCCTGATCTGACCAGTGAAGACATGTTTAGCCGCATGTCGTCATTCAACCGCTGGTTGTCTAGGTGGTGTCCTGAAAACAACGTGGGCTACATTAATAATTGGCAATCCTTTTGGGGAAAGCCTGGTCTGATTCGGAGAGACGGCATCCATCCCACTTTGGATGGTGCAGCTCTTCTTTCTAGGAATGTGGCCACATTTGTTAGTCCTCCAAAACCCTGACCACCCAGAGTGCAGACCAGGAAGCAGAGTTGTAGTTTAACACACATCACTGAGCAGTGCTGCAGAGTGCAAAAGCTTAGTTTATTCCCCTTCACAGGTTGATGATTTTGTTGATGGGGTTCCTAGTTCTCTGCGTACTGCCTTAGACAATGCAGCCCCTTTGAAAATGAAAAACGTTAAAAATAGAAAGCTTGCTCCTTGGTTTAATGCAGAGCTGCACACTTTGAAGCAAAATGCTAGGAAACTGGAGAGAAAATATCGCTCCACAGGCCTGCGGGAGTCCTACCTACTCTAAAAATAGTTTACTGCTGTATAAGAGGACCCTTTGTAAAGCAAGAGCAGCATACTTCTCCT